GTAAAAATTCTATACAACATTATAATACAATGTTAAAGAAGAAAAAAATGTGGTTTAAAAAATGATGTGAAGGCTATATTATTTTTTATGGGCTGCTATTTTTGTAATGCAGGTACAATAGCACAGTTCGAGTAATTCCAGAAATATTCAAACATTTTTGTTTTATAGAGAATCAGTCTGTTTTTCTGTTTATATAAATTCTCTACCTCTAACTAGTTTTTACAAATTCGTCAGTTTTAAATTTATTGTTCTCTTGACAGCTGACATAGAGCTACTGACAAGGAGTAAAATGGCAAATAGACCTCCAGGGTCTACAAAAATATACGTTTGTAGGTATTATTTATAGTACACTGTTTTTAAATAGGGGTTCGTACATTTAGAATAGAAATTAAAATTAGAATTTTGTAATCTAGTATCATTGCTTCTGCAATTTTTCATTAACATTCTGTTTCTAGCTCTTTATCCATGTATTTCTTTTATTATCCAAGCATTTTATTTGATTCGTTTGGTTTAAACGTAGTTAAAAAATTAAATTACATCTGAAGCGCTTGATAAAAGTTATTTTTTATACAAGACGATAAAATGGTATTTTATCGTCAACCGATGACGGCTGCACCAAACCAACTTGGTTTGGAGACGATAATGCAATGGGTTGGCGTTGGTTTCTATGTAATTTGACAAATAAATAAAGCTGTCTCTTTAGTTGTCAGTTTTGAGTCAATAATTTTTAATTCTCTTTCGTGTCGATTGCTGATTGAATGGGAGCCAGAAATGGCTCAAAACGAAATAAGTAAAATACCAACAGATATTCTGAGGCGACAAACGCCATATCCAAACTACTTCCATTTAAATCCCGAATAACTTATGAAAAGGAATACAAACATTTTCAAAAATGGAAGCAATTAAAAAACGTGAGAGAAGAAATAAAGTTTTTAACCTATCCTCGCTGTTAAAGTATCATTTAATCTACCCTTGCGGTTAAAGTACTATTTTATCTACTATTTTTAGTATTTTTGATAGATATAAGGCAATTTTAACAGTTGCTATGGAAAAAAACTTTATTATTGTATAAACTTCACGTAGGATTTTCGATATTGGCAATTTCATGTCTAGACTGCAATGCACTTCCTCCAGCATTCTAATGGCTGAATTTCTTCAAAATCTATAAAGTTTATGATCAGTCGTAATCAGCATTACTTGCCTTGAGCACGTAGTCGACTTATGGTCTAGGATGTAGAGGACTTAATAACATAAATTTATTAAAGTTGCTTCTCGTGTAAGTAAAATATAAGAGTAATATAGAATGTATGTAGTAATACTTTCACTTTTTGTAGTTCTTTGGTTCTAATAAATTATTAATAAATTTGCAGCAATTGGAGTTATACTGTATGTCCCCGGATTTGTCTTTACAAGAGGAAAACCTTTTTTATTAAGTATTGACATTTTGAGAAAAATGCATTCTTCATAAACATTTTTGCTTGTTCTAAAATGGTTAATGCTGTGTAAAATTTTTCAAATTTCCATACCGTTTCAGAGAAAATTAAATAAAGCATGAAAATATGGTAGATTTTAATGGTTTATTTTTTAATAAATTAGTGGTTTCAATTAGCGTATATATTTGTTACTTTAATTTCAATGTAAGCATTCAGAATAGTGATGGCATTACAATTCTTTTCAGTGAATCGAATCACACGATTCAATTTCTTATACTGAATCGACACCTACGATTCGTTCATTTGTCTTTTTCAACGATTCATAGATTATTACAAAAATACGTATATTTTCTTATTTGTTGGCGCTTTCGATTGTAAAATTAGAGTTACCCTCAGTTAAATCTCAGACAAAACTAGTTATAATAGAAAATTGGTCTGAGGCAGTCCCAATCAATTTTTGATAAAATCAAAATGTTGATACAATCACGCCACCGTCATGCCACTGATAGAGCCAAATGACATAAAGATAAACGAAACTCAACCGTGTTGTCATATTTATGTACCCATCTCTTTTAACTCTCATAAAAGTGTCAAACCATGACAATTCTAAAAAATTGAGTTTTATGAATGGAGTTTTCGGTCTACCCGTTTAGATGTCTTTGGATACAACTGACTAACACAAGCTGTCGCTAGCAAGCTATATTCTGTTTATTTTTTTTTCAACATATACACAAATGACCAACCTATTCCAGATAACACTAGAACCTTTGCATATGCAGATGACCTAGCAATAACAGTTAAAGGTAAATGGTTCGAAGATATCGAGGAGAAACTAGAAACCGCCTTAAAAACAATATCAGCTTATTACAAAAAGAATTCTTTAAAACCCAACCCCACCAAAACTAAAGTGAGTGCATTCCATCTGAATTCGAGACAGGCGACCCGCAGACTTAATGTCACATGGGACGGGACACCACTAGAACACACAGATAAGCCTACCTATCTTGGCGTCGTGCTGGACAGAACATTGACTTACAAATATCACTGCGAAAAAACACGCAAAAAAGTAGCAGCACAAAATTCCCTTATAAGGAAGCTGATCAATAGTAAATGGGGAGCCAAACCTATCGTCGTCAGAACTTCTGCTCAAGCTCTATGTTTCTCAACTGCAGAATATGCCTGCCCAGTGTGGTGTAGATCTGCCCATGCAAAAAAGTTGAACATCTTACCTGAATGAAACATGCAGAATAGTGACAGGTTGTATGAAACCCACCCTCTTAGAAAACCTTTACAAGGCCGCAGGTTTTACAAGCCCCGATTTACGCAGAAAAGCTCATAAACATACTGAGAAGCTAAAACAAACCTTTGATGCTCGTGACTCAATTTTTGGCCAAGAGTGCGGCACAGGTAGACATAAATCCAGACGCCGTTTCCTAAGCCACCGCCTGGATGAACCTCCCTCCCACTTAGAGAGGAGCCACCAAATGGTGTTTCTAGCGACTGGACACTGCATTCACCAACTAATGGAATCATATCATTTCTCTCTGATGTAGGATAAGTTTGCATTTTCGGCAAATTTCTGAGAATTTTTTTGTTTTAACTGACACAAAATGATAACTAGTTGTGAAAGTTGGACTAATTAGACAGCTATGTTGAAGCAACGTCAGACATATCACAGCGACCTAGATTTTATCAAACAATAAGGATTTACTCAGATCAAATCATGTAAATGAAAATATCTAGGAAAATATTTGTTTGAGGGGTAGGCAACCTTAATAGTATTTTGAAGAGACATGAGTTCTCCATTGAATATCGAAATAATATACTGAGTGTTCCATTTAAAATAAAAGAGTAACATGCTTTTAAAGGTGGCCAATGTTCAATATTAATTTTGTCTCACCCTGTATAACTTTTTGGATTAATTTTTAATTTGATTTAAAGTACAATGGTTAATTTAACTACATATTAGGCTATACCGGGTAAATTCCAATTTAGGTAGCTTTTATTGTAATTTTAAAATTGTTCTTTATTTCTAGAAAATGTTAAATATGTCAAAAACCTTACATTTTAGTTATATACTTCTCTTATAAAACTCATCTTTATTTTTCTCCCAGAATCCGAAAATCAATTAATATATAGGGTGTTCCATTACAAAAAACACAACTTTGATATGTAACTTTTTTTGGGGACACCCTGTAGAACTCTCTATATTTTTAAAAAGTGCTCTGAATTAACCTACATATGCTCACAAAATTTCATTTCAATACAAACTGTCGTTCTCCTTGGAGCCTCCGCGGCGTATGAGAGGCACCACCCTGTATAATCCGGACACGAAAAAGTAAGTAAGTATTAATTTTAATTGTGGTTTATAAATATTGTGAATGGTCGTAAACTATAAAGTGTAATTGAAACCACTAATTTATTTCACTATTGCGAGGTACAGTATGTCCCCAGATTGTCTTTACAAGAGGAAAAACTTTTATTATAGACATATTGATAAATGGCACTTTTCATAAAAATGTTTGCTTGTTCTAAATGGTATGGTTCTTGGTATTGAAATTTGAAACAGTGTAAATGGGATTAACCATTTTAGAACAAGCAAACATTTTTATGAAAAGTGCCATTTATCAAAATGTCTATAATAAAAAAGTTTTTCCTCTTGTAAAGACAATCACTAAGGGTAAATATCAATAAGTATAGTATAAAATATTTAACTTTTAACGATTTAAATTCTAAAAACGTAATTATATTTTTAACCAGCTTCAGTTCAAGTTTTCTAACCACACAAACAATATCTAATACAAAATTTTACTTAAAAGTTGAAAAATTAAATTCGTTATATTTATTATGCTTCCCAGCACTTTTCTTTGACCTCCATAAAAGTTTAACATTCTTGAAATTTATATTTTACGTTGGTATAAAATTTACTACGGACCTACATACATTATAACTTTTCAGAGAAGCAATTTGTTTCTTAGTAAAGATCCTTTACCGTACTTAGACAGAAAATATTAGATTATGTTGAAAGGGGCATATTATAAATTAAAAATTTATAAATATATTACAAATTAGGTAGCAGTTATATACCACAGGCTAAAATAATAATAAAACGCTTTTTTAATATTAATAAAATACATAATAAATAATTAATACATAATGTTATGTAGATGTCATAAATCTAATTAACCAGGATTTTATATATATTAAAAGGAAATATTTTTATAGTAGGTTTGAAGAGGCGATATTTTTTAGTATTTTTATAGTAGAAATCATGAGGTTTTCCATTGGTTTGACATTGGAGTGATAAAAATAAAGCTAGGATTACACAGCACTGGAAATAGTAGAATACAGTCACTGAAAAAGTCAAAATGTAGTCAAAAGTCAAAATATATTACCCAAAAAAAATATTTGTACTTATTTAAGATTCACCCTGTATATCTACTTATAGTAGTTATTACGTTATCGTATATCATTTCAAAACAAGATTACCCAATTATTAAAGGTTCATTTGAAACAAGCGTTCCCAGAGACGTAAGCTCTTATAATCTCTAAATTAAGTGGGCTTACCGTGCTGCAGTGTTGCCATGTGGCCGTGTTGCTTTCCGGCCGTCGTCGCCGCTTCCGGCACAGCTGAATGTCATCTATCGACTAAATCTCGATCCACGATGGGCCCCTAAAATTAATATGGACATTAAAATAAATAATTTTTAGAGATGATGTGCCGTGTGGCTTACATTTAGGTTAACTTTAAAGAAATAAAATAGTTTTTCTTACTAATAGGGATGTAAAGACAAAATAAAGAAAATTAAGTATATTAAGTATTATTTTAAGAAAAACCAAATCTGAAAATGCCACCGACCAGAGCAACTGTATGTATTTATAACATCTCGTATGAGCTTAGAGCATCTTATGTCTGAAAGACCACACAGAACTTTCCACTTTTAAAATAGAGGATAAGAGGATAAAAAGGAGCAACAGCCGAAACGTTGTTTGGACCTCTTTTATATCACAGTTTTATTTTGTTGTAATGATAGTCATTAAATAAGAAATAACGCAACGATCCTTTTTTAAAAAAATAAACTTTTTCTATTAAACATTGTTCTATTAAACAACTCTTAGAAATGTTCTTAGATATATTACATTGTTTTTAATTTTCAATATTCTATCATTTAAAAATATCCTCTATTGTTTATTTACTTAAATATACCGGGTGTTTTTCAATAGTGCTCAACCCAACAACTTTTTTTTTCAGATAAAAAACGAGATTGATATAGTATATATAGTATAAAACATAAATGAGGATTGATTGACGTCTTCAATTAGTTTCGTTTACTCCTATTTTAACGGAAGTGACTTCAACTTTTGATTATTTTAGATATAATTTTTACTATTATACAGGCAGAAATAAGCAGTGCAAGTATTTCAACTGGTAGTATAGTTCAACCCCAGAAATACGGCTATGAGGTTTTTTTCGCGAAACAAAATTTTTTACAAAATTTTTTGGAAAAGTTTTTAGTGTAAAATAGGTATTAGATTAAATTTACAAGAAAGAAAATCCAGAAAAGATCCGGTGGTTCTGCAAATTTTAGCAAAAAATCATTTTTTTTGGAAATTTTTACAGTAAAATAACTCGTTATTTTGGACTTATTTGAAAAACGATAAAGAGAAAATATGTTTCTTTTATCGAGATCTACCACTGCTTAAAATACTTGCACTTATTTCTGGGACACCCTGTATAATATATAGAATAACATTCTGAATTATATATATTCCAACTATTGACATTATTAATTAAAAAAGATAGCATTTAGAATTTTAATATAGTGTTAAAATCATTTATTTTTATTCAATGAGCTTTGGAAAAATGGATTTGATCGTCTACTGTTTTTCTTCTTTTCCTGACCGGTTAAAAGATACCCAAATCGTATTTTTTCAAATAGAACGAGGGTGGGTCATTAGAATATTTGTAAAAAGTACCCTATGACAAAAAAAAACCGGCATTTAGTCGCTTTCGAAATGACGATCGATGACATTTCCCCATATAATTTTACATATAAAATGATAGCGATCTTCTTAGCCATCGCTGACGCCGTTTTTTTTCAATCATTAACAATAATTAACTCTTTTATGAATCATTTAGTACAACATATTTGGTGTTTTGCGTCAAATTGTCATTACATTTATGGCCATGGCACTCTAGATTGAAACTTAAGACAGACGCTATTTTTTTTTAATTGAAAATATCAAAAGTTGACATATAATGTTTGATTCTATTTAAAAGGATATCTTCTATCAAATAAAGGAAAAAAACACCAAGGGTACCTTGGTATAAAAATCAAAAGTTGTAGTCATTTCCGGTGAAACAGGAGGTAACTGAAAATAACTGAATAGGTACATCAATTAACCCCCCAAGTAGCATCTCTCTGACTTCGAACTAAATCTGACCTGAAGCGACGTCAGACTTTGTGCAAATTTAGGTCGGGTGCTGGTGATACGACCGGTGACGTCGCTTTTGAGAATCACCTGGTATACAAAATTACTGTAACAAAAAAACGCACTATTAAGCATATCAAATGTTTAGAGTGCTTTCTCTTGAAAAACAGTTGACAGTACGCGAACAATTTTTCTTTTGTCTTAGTAATTTTCGCACGTTTTTCATTTTATTCGCTTTTCTTCAGCCATTTTGCATTTTTATGGAGAGGGGGACCGACGAGCGACGTCTTCTGCCACCCATCAAATGACATCTTACGTTTTGGGTGTTTAATACTTAATCTTTCTCTGCCACTCCTTCTTTTTTGCCGAAAATAATGCTGTGTAATGCTAAGTCGTCTGGAATTTTCAGTCGTCTGGAATTTTCAGAGTAAATTCTTAAGAAAATTATTAGATCTATATGGAGTAACCTTGAAATATAACGATTTTATTTCATTGCGATAAATACTTAACAATTTATATAATTTCAAATTTCACGTATCAAGTATAGTATAAATTATATTATATTCCCCTGGAAAATTTGAAGTTCTTGAACCTTGTTTCTAAATGTTCTAAGTTTGATTTTCTTGGGATTTAGGTTCGGGAAAACGCTGATTAAGTTTTTATTTGGTATAAGTATCTTTATTTGGTTTTAAAAAACAAACGTTTCTGCTAATAGGTATTATAGACTTCATCAGTGTATTGTCATAACAAAAACAGTGTCGAATATTAATATCAAAAAATTATATTTATCTACGTCAATGAGTTAAGAGCTTCTTAACTCACGCATTTTCATTACCGCTCTCCTTGTTTAGATGACTACCAAAGAGAAAAAAAATGTAAGACATTTATTTTGCATCTCGTTTTGCACTAAATACCTATTAAATACAAATAAACTGTTCTATTGATAATAATTATTATAAAAACATGAAAACTTATTTATTATAAATGTTAATGATACAGTTTGAACAATCTTCCAAGTAAATGCCTGATGAAGTATATATGTATATTCATTTTAATAGATAGCATAGTATGTATCATTGAATAGAAAGCCCGAAGAGACGAAGGCTTATATGTAGCGGATAAATTGGAATAATATGTTATGAGTACCTTTTCGTTTCCATAGTTGTGTACTTTTTTTTCGGTGCACTATTTTTCATACTTTGAGTATGTATATTCATACTTCTGTTTCGATCTTGCTGGAAGTAATCCAGAAATGGCTCTGAATGCCTCTTCTTCAATGTCAGAGGGAATACTTTCCGAATCGCTCATTTTTTAAACTAGTGACATTAATATTATTTACTGTCATATTGACATTACCATGCATAGTGTTATTTGAACAAAGTGGCTCACCCCTATATAACTTTTTAATTGTTTCATTAAAAAAACGAGATTTGGTATGTTAGTATATGACATAAATTATGATTAACGATTCAATTGTTTTTGGTCACTTCCTGTTTCACCGGAAATGACTACAACTTTTGATTTTTAAATGGTACCCTCCTAATAGGGTATCCTCCTTTTGACATTTTCGCATATGGTTTATTTCCAATGACGGAAAGAGATAAACTTTCCGAAACGTTAAGCATTTTTTCTTTGTTAGGCAAATTTGTGTAACTGTAAACATAACTTCTGACAAGCAGTGTCCGTTTAGGTTTAACGCAAAAATGTTTACAAAAAATATCTACTTTATTTTGTAGATTTTCTTGCAGTGCAGTGGCGAAATACGGCGAATAAAGGATTTTTTTGGAGAGACTAAATTTGATGTTTGGACTATGCACATTTTTTGACAAGAAGTTATTTTCGTCCAAAAATATTAAATATACTTTTTTTTCTCAAAAACGGTTAATTTTAGATATAGAGTGTTTAATATGAAAATTCATTAAAATTTACAGACATATTGAAAATATTTTTTCGTCATACTATATTGTTATATTATTATAACATAAGCAAAATCAGAATGGAAAAGATGCATATAACGTCCGCCGGACGTTATCATAACGGCCGGCGGCCGTTAAGTTTCTAAGGTAATCGTAACGTCTGTCACCTGCAACAATGACTATTTATTGTCAGTTGGACTTTTCAAAAATTGGGAAAATAGACCATAGCGAGATGTCGCGAGAAATTCCGTTGGAAATACAGGAGGAAGCGGCTGCGGCTACTCAAAATTATACTTCCGACTATAACCAGAGAGAGATATCAGCAGGAATATGACAATTTTTTGAAGTGGCGGCAGGATAGAAGTATAAACAGCGTAAATGAAGCGGTATTGCTGGCTTATGCTAAAAGAATGTCTGAAATGTATTCTCCTACATCACTGTGGACAAAGATATCCATGCTGAAGCTTGCGTTGAGAGTATATGAAAACATCGACATATCAAGGTAAAAAGCCATTATATTCTTCGATATTTAATCATACTCATCTAAATTATATTTGTTCATAGATTTGGTAAACTGTTCATGTTTCTGAGGCGCAAAACGAAGGTTATTCACCAAAAAAGCCAAAGTTTTGTCGGAGAATGACATAAATAATTTTCTACTGGATGCCGATGATTACACCTGGTTACTCGAAAAATTGTATTGGTGCTTGGTATTCTTGGAGCTTGTAGGCGCAGCGAGCTTTGGTCACTCACAGTTGATGATTTCGAAGATTCGGAGAAAAATATTCTTGTCTCATTAAGAAATACTAAAAATAAGAAAGATAGGAAATTTCTTATTCCAAAACAGCCTTCCGTTTGATGCCTATGGTTTATACAAAATACATCAACCTGCGTCCTCGTAACTTTGACAATCCAAAATTTTTCATTGGTTTTACAGAAAGGCAAGTGTGTTAAGCAAATCGTCGGTATACATACCATCGGGAGCGTACCGCAGAAAATTGCAAAATTTTTTGAACTTGGAGAATCCAGAACGTTATACAGGGCATTCATTTCGTAGATCATCAGCAACCATGCTCGCCGAAAATGGTGGTGATTTACTATCGCTAAAGGAGCTAGGAGGATGGGAGTCTTCAACAGTGGCAGAAACTTACATAGAAAAATCAGTTTCCAAAAGAATGAAAATAACAAATCAACTTTTTTCATGATAGCTCCAAAAATAATGTGTCTTTAGTGGATACAAATATTTGCCATTCTTCAGTAGCATCATCTTCTTCTATAAAATCTGTAAATCCCTGGGAAGGATTACAGATTTCTAAGAACAACA